GAAGGCCATGCGGAGTCTGAGACCAGGAAAGGCAGCGGGTACAGATGATCTCCCAAGCTAAATACTGAGAGAGGGTGGCGTTTGTGCACAGGCTCCCCTACATGACATCATAACAACAGTCTGGACCACTGGACGGGTTCTGCAGGATTGGAAGGATGCCCTGGTGGTCCCCCTCTTTAAGAAGGGGGACCGCACAGACTGTAACAACTACAGGAGTATCTCTATTCTCCGTGTGACGGGAAAAGTCCTGGGCAAGGATTATTCAACATCGTCTTGCCAGGCACGCTGAGGAGAGGCTTGCGGAGCCCCAATGCGGTTTCAGGAAAGGGCGGTTCTGCACAAATGCCATATTTTCTGTCCGTCTGCTACAGCAGAGGTGTAGGGAATTCCAACAAGACCTACATCTCTGCTTTATTGACCTGGTCAAGGCCTATGATACCATCAGTAGGCCTGGGCTCTGGGTTGTTCTTCGTGCTTTTGGAGTCCCTGACCCTCTGCTCACGATCATTAAGGACCTTCATGATGGTGAGCGGGCCCGGGTGAAACTATGTGGCCGGGAGTCAGAGCCATTCCCTGTACACCTTGGGGTGCGACAGGGATGTCCTCTGGCTCCCACATTATTTAACATCTATTTTGACCACGTAGTTCGTGAAGCCTTCAATAGCTGTACCGAGGGAAGCTCCATTTGGTACAGATGTAATGGGAGGCTGATCGATGCCCGGGTGTGGTCAAGGGATGGCTCCCTATTGCTCAACCACGTTATGTATGCTGATGATTTGGTAATAGCTGCTAGTCAGAGGAGGAGTTGGAGACGCTGCTGCTGAGACTGGAGCGTGCCACTAAGAGATGGGGCCTTACCATCAGTCCCACCAAAACTAAGCACCTGCCTGGGTATTTTGTACCATCGGACACTCCACCCCCACAACTCCCAATCGGTGATAGGGCAGTTGTGGAGAGAGTGGAGAGTTTCCCATACCTGGGCAGTGTGCTTATGACCGGCTCCAGTTTAACCACAGAGGTCTCACTCTGAATCAGTCGAGCGGCAATATCTTCTCATCGGTTGCGTAACGCTGTGTGGAAGCTACCTGGTCTGTCGCTCCGCACTAAGCTTCAGGTCTTCTCGGCCACGGTCATTCCCTCCCTTCTCTACGCTTGTGAAACGTGGACCTCCCTAATGGAATATCTTTGCCGGTTAGAAACATTTAGGCTAGCCTGCCTACGATCAATCCTGGGTTTAACCAGGCTGCATTGTGTGAGGAGCTCACAAATCTTTGAAAGATATGGGCAAGGTCCCATCGGTGAGCTCCTCCAGCAGGCAAGGCTGCGTTGGCTGGGTCATATAGCCCGCATGCCCAGCCACCGCATGCCGAAACAGCTTTTGTTCGACCGGATCGAGGGGGCTAAACAGGCATGGCACGGGCTAGAGAAGAGATGGAGTGACGTGGTACAGGAGTACGTGGAGCTGAGTGGACTTGCCGATGACTGGTACCAGCGGTGTCAAGATCGGCCTCTGTGGAGGAGGCTCGTGAAGGGCGCTGCTGGGCAGTTGTAGGCAGTCGCCCTCCAACAGCAACGGAGGGCAGAGGAGCGATGCTCACAACAACGAGTGGAGCGCTGGGTGGCTAAAGCACAGCAGGTTGGTACAGTAGGGGGCACAGGTGGTGCATCAGCCAGTCATCTCAGTCAGTCGACCCGTGGCACCTGCTGGGTCTGCCTCGTGACCTCCTGCCAGCGGGCGTTCGACACTTCACGTGGCCTCAAGGTACACATGGCCTGGCACAAGCGTCGTGGTGACGTCACCGCCACTTAGTGGCGAATGGCGGTTGTTTTTGTTGTGTGTAGCGATAGTGTAGTAATGGTTAGCGCGCTGCGCTATGAACCCGGCGACCCGGGTTCAATTCCCGCTCACGGCCAACCGGGCCTGGGCCTCCCCTACGTCGACTCAGCCTCAAATGAGTACCTGGTGCGGTTTGTAAACATCGCACTGGGGAGACAAAGGCGGTCGGGCGTGGTGTTGGGCACCCACCCCCTCGTGTGCCGTGCCGGCCTTCATAGGTGCTCGCTAACAGCTCTTGTGTTTTATATGTGCCTTTTTCCAAAAATGTATATTAAGAATGATTCAACTCACTCACCTACTCACTGATCAACTCACGCACCCACTCACTCACCCACTCATTCACTCACACACTCACTCACCCACTCACTCACCTTCTCACTGATCCACTCAAACACCCACCCACTCACCCACTCATTCACTCACCCACTCACTCACCCACTCACCTACTCAATGATCCACTCACACCCCACCCACTCACTCACCCACTCATTCACTTCACACACTCACTCACCCACTCACTCACCTACTCAATGATCCACTCACACACACACCCACTCACCCACTCATTCACTCACACACTCACTCATCCACTCACTCACCTTCTCACTGATCCACTCACACACCCACCCACTCACTCACCCACTCATTCACTCACACACTCACTCACCCACTCACTCACCTTCTCACTGATCCACTCACACACCCACCCACTCACTCACCGACTTATTCACTCACACACTCACTCGCACACTCACTCACCTTCTCACTGATCCACTCACACACACACCCACCCACTCACCCACTTATTCACTCAAACACTCACTCACCCACTCACCTACTCACTGATCCACTCACACACCCACCCACCCACTCATTCACTTCACACACTCACTCACTCACCTACTCACTGATCCACTCACACACCCACCCACTCACTCACCCACTCATTCACTCACACTGTCACTCACCCACTCAATCACCTACTCACTGATCCACTCACACACCCACCCACTCACTCACCCGCTCATTCACTCACTCACCCACTCACTCATCTACTCACTGATCGACTCACACACCCACACACTCACTCACAAACTCACTCACTCACCCACCCACTTACTCACCCACTCACTCACCTACTCACTGATCCACTCACACACCCACCCACTCAATCACCCGCTCATTCACTCACTCACTCACCTACTCACTGATCGACTCACACACCCACCCACTCACTCGCTGATCCACTCATTCACTGACGGACACATCTCACTCATCCACTTACTCACCCACTCTCTAACTCACTGCCCAACTCACACATTCACTTCCCCACCTGTTCACACGCTCACCCACTCACTCACCCACTCATTCACTCACACACTCACTCACCCACTCACTCACCTACTCACTGATCCACTCACACACCCACCCACCCACTCACCCACTCATTCACTTCACACACTCACTCACCCACTCATTCACCTACTCACTGATCCACTCACTCACCCACTCATTCACTCACACACTCACTCACCCACTCACTCACTCACCTACTCACTGATCCACTCACACACCCACCCACTCACTCACCCACTCATTCACTCACACAGTCACTCACCCACTCAATCATCTACTCACTGATCCACTCACACACCCACCCACTCACTCACCCGCTCATTCACTCACTCACCCACTCACTCACCTACTCACTGATCGACTCACACACCCACCCACTCACTCACCCACTCACTCACTCACCCACTCACTCACCCACTCACTCACCCACTCACTCACCTACTCACTGATCCACTCACTCACCCACTCATTCACTCACCCACTCATTCACTCACCCACTTATTCACTCACACACCCACCCACTCACTCACCCACTTACTCACTCATCCACTCACTCACCCACTCACTCACCTACTCACTGATCCACTCACTCACCCACTCATTCACTCACACACTCACTCACCCACTCACTCACCTACTCACTGATCCACTCACTCACCCACTCATTCACTCACCCACTCATTCACTCACACACCCACCCACTCACTCACCCGCTCATTCACTCACTCACCCACTCACTCACCTACTCACTGATCGACTCACACACCCACCCACTCACTCACCCACTCACTCACTCACACACTCACTCACCCACTCACTCACTCACTCACCCACTCACTCACACACTCACTCACCCACTCACTCACCTACTCACTGATCCACTCACTCACTCACTCACTTATTCACTCACACACTCACTCACCCACTCACTCACCTACTCACTGATCCACTCACACACCCACCCACTCACTCACCCACTCATTCACTCACCCACTTATTCACTCACACACTCACTCACCCACTCATTCACTCACCCACTTATTCACTCACACACTCACTCACCCACTCATTCACTCACCCACTTATTCACACTCACTCACCCACTCATTCACTCACACACTCACTCACCCACTCACTCACCTACTCACTGATCCACTCACTCACCCACTCATTCACTCACCCACTCATTCACTCACACACCCACCCACTCACTCACCCGCTCATTCACTCACTCACCCACTCACTCACCTACTCACTGATCGACTCACACACCCACCCACTCACTTACCTACTCACTCACTCACACACTCACTCACCCACTCACTCACCTACTCACTGATCCACTCACTCACCCACTCATTCACTCACACACTCACTCACCCAATCACTCACTCACCTACTCACTGATCCACTCACACACTCACTCACTTATTCACTCACACACTCACTCACCCACTCACTCACCTACTCACTGATCCACTCACTCACCCACTCATTCACTCACCCACTCATTCACTCACACACTCACTCACCCACTCACTCACCTACTCACTGATCCACTCACACACCCACCCACTCACTCACCCACTTATTCACTCACACACTCACTCACCCACTCACTCACCTACTCACTGATCCACTCACTCACCCACTCATTCACTCACCCACTCATTCACTCACACACTCACTCACCCACTCATTCACTCACCCACTCATTCACTCACATTCCCAAACAGCTGAAACTTCACCCCAATGCGAGTCGTAACGCAATGAACAACAGGCAGTCCACGCTTGACGTTAATTTGGGATTTATTTCTTTATTTTTAAAACAATCAGGTTTATACATTTATATTATTTTATACAACTATACAAAAAAATACACGTGCTCCTTTCGACTTCCATACAGAGTGATCTGTCGTGGTACAAACTCAAAATAACTCACCCTTATCATTAACCCTCTGCGTCTCACCCCACATCGCAAAGTCAGTCATCTCAGTCACGTCGATCGAGCCAGCGATCAATCGAGCGGCCGATTGATCGATCGATCGAGCGACCGAGCGATCAAACAAGCGATCGAGCGATCGATCGATCGATCGAGCGACCGACCGATCAATCAAGCGGCCGATTGAACGAGCGATCGAGCGACCGAGCGACCGATCAATCAAGCGACTGAGCGATCAAACAAGCGATCGAGCGATCGATCGAGCGAGCGACCGATCAATCAAGCGGCCGATTGAACGAGCGATCGAGCGACCGAGCGACCGATCAATCAAGCGACTGAGCGATCAAACAAGCGATCGAGCGATCGATCGAGCGAGCGACCGATCAATCAAGCGACCGATTGAACGAGCGATCGAGCGACCGATTGAACGAGCGACCGATCAATCAAGCGACTGAGCGAGACATCGAGCGAGCGATGGGGGATCATGTGGTGGCGTATTTGTTGCCGTAAACAGCCGCGTCTTTGACCAGCAGATTCCTCTGCATGCGCTTGAGGTAAGTGCTGTGGTTGGGAGAGAGACAGACAGAGAGACACACACACACAGTGCGTTACGTTACATACACTCAACTAATTACGTATACATACACTGAACTAATTACGTATACGTACACTGAACTAATTACGTATACGTACACTCAAGTAATTACGTATACGTACATTGAACTAATTACGTATACATACACTGAACTAATTACGTATACATACACTGAACTAATTACGTATACATACAGTCAACTAATTACGTATACATACACTGAACTAATTACGTATACATACACTGAACTAATTACGTATACGTACACTGAACTAATTACGTATACTGAACTTATTACGTATACGTACAGTGAACTAATTACGTATACATACACTGAACTAATTACGTATACGTACACTGAACTAATTACGTATACATACACTGAACTAATTACGTATACGTACACTGAACTAATTACGTATACTGAACTAATTACGTATACATACACTGAACTAATTACGTATATCTTCTTTGGTTCTTTCGGTAAAGTCACCACGTAGAATGAGAATAAAATAATAAATTGATAAACTAAAATAACACAATAATATTCTCACGACGTTTCGGCCACAACACAAGCGGCCTTCATCAGGTGAAGGGACGAGACTGTCTGTCCACTCCAGCGCTGTCCTACCAGTCCTCCATGTACCATAGTGGTGTAGTGTATAGTAGTGTAGTGTAAAGTGGTGTATAGTAGTGTAGTGTATAGTAGTGTAGTGTATAGTAGTGAATAGTAGTGTAGTGTATAGTAGTGTAGTGTATACTAGTGTAGTGTATAGTAGTGTAGTCTAGTGTATAGTAGTGTATAGTAGTGTAGTGTATAGTAGTGTAGTGTATAGTAGCGTAGTATAGTGTAGCGTATAGTAGTGTATAGTAGTTTAATGCATAGTAGTGTAGTGTATAGTACTATAGTAATATAGTACTGTAGTAATATAACAGTGTAGTAATATAGTAGTGTAGTGTATAGTAGTGTAGTGTATAGTGTAGTGTATAGTAGTGTAGTGTTTAGTAGTGTTGTGTATAGTGGTGTAGTGTATAGTGTAGTGTATAGTGTAGTGTATAGTAGTGAAGTGTATAGTAGTGTAGTGTATAGTAGTGTAGTGTATAGTAGTGTAGTGTATAATAGTGTAGTGTATTGTAGTGTAGTGTATAGTAGTATAGTATATAGTGTAGTGTATAGTAGTGTAGTGTATACTAGTGTAGTGTATAGTTGTGTAGTATAGTGTAGCGTATAGTAGTGTATAGTAGCTTAATGCATAGTAGTGTAGTGTATAGTACTATAGTAATATAGTACTGTAGTAATATAGCAGTGTAGTAATATAGTAGTGTAGTTTATAGTAGTGTAGTGTGTAGTAGTGTAGTGTATAGTAGTAGTGTATAGTGTAGTGTATAGTAGTGAAGTGTATAGTAGTGTAGTGTACAGTAGTGTAGTGTATAGTAGTGTATAGTGTAGTGTATAGTAGTGTAGTGTATAGTGTAGTGTACAGTAGTGTAGTGTATAGTGTAGTGTATAGTAGTGAAGTGTATAGTAGTGTAGTGTACAGTAGCATAGTGTATAGTGTAGTGTATAGTAGTGAAGTGTATAGTAGTGTAGTGTAAAGTAGTGTTATGTGTACATTGAACTTTTTTTGCACCGTACATAGCCAACTGTGCTAATCTGAGGTGGCCGTGGAAAGACAATAAACTACACAACATCAACAACAACAAACTACACAACAACAACAAACTACACAACAACAACAACAAACTAAACAGAACAACAGCAACAATCAGCTCTAAGTAAATGAGTTTGTCAACGTAGATGATGATGATTATTTTAAAGTGGAATAGCTCCCAATAGCTTCCTAATATAGGATGGGAGAGCGTTCCAGACGGCAACATAATCATCAACATCATCAACATCATCATCAACACCACCACCATCACCACCATCGTCAACATCATCAACATCATCATCAACACCACCACGATCACCACCATCGTCAACATCAACATCATCATCAACACCACCACCATCACGACCATCAACATCATCATCAACACCACCACCATCACCACCATCAACATCATCAACATCATCATCAACACCACCACCATCACGACCATCGTCAACATCATCATGATCAACATCATCATCAACATCATCATCATCATCACCACCACCATCAACACCATCGTCAACATCATCAACATCATCATCAACACCACCACCATCACGACCATCAACATCATCAACATCATCATCAACACCACCACCATCACCACCATCAACATCATCAACATCATCATCAACACCACCACCATCACCACCATCAACATCATCAACATCATCATCAACACCACCACCATCACGACCATCGTCAACATCATCATGATCAACATCATCATCAACATCATCATCATCAACACCACCACCATCAACACCATCAACATCATCAACATCATCATCAACACCACCACCATCACGAACATCAACATCATCAACATCATCATCAACACCACCACCATCACCACCATCAACATCATCAACATCATCATCATCAACACCACCACCATCAACACCATCAACATCATCAACATCATCATCAACACCACCGCCATCACGACCATCAACATCATCATCAACACCACCACCATCAACACCATCAACATCATCAACATCATCATCAACACCGCCACCATCACCACCATCGTCAACATCATCACCATCATCATCAACATCACCATCATCACCATCGTCAACATCATCAACAACACCACCACCATCACGACCATCGTCAACATCATCATGATCATTATGAGACCTCCTTTGCCAGTAACAAGATATAGAAATAGGTTTTACCCTTTTAACTGGCACAAAGGACAGTGCCAATATCATTATCAGAGTTGTCTTTTTTGTTTGCATTTTGACTGCTTGTGTTGTGGTTATTGCAAACATGATGCCTTGGACAAAGGTGTCAGTTTTTGTGGCAGTTAAAAGGGGTAAAACCTATTACTATCATCATGATCAACATCATCATCAACATCACCATCATCACCATTATCACCATCATCAACATCACCACCACCATCATCATCACCATCAACATCATCAACACCACGACCATCACGACCATTGTCAACATCAACACCACCACCATCACCACAATCAACATCATCATCAACAGCACGACCATCACGACCATTGTCAACATCAACACCATCATCATCAACATCATCAACATCATCAACATCACCATTATCAACATCATCAACATCACCATCATCACCATCATCAACATCATCAACATCACCATTATCATCATCACCATCATCACCATCATCATCACCACCACCACCATCATCATCACCATCATCATCAACATCACCATCATCACCATCATCAACATCACCATCATCACCATCATCAACATCATCAACATCACCATCATTAACATCACCATCATCACCATCATCAACATCACCACCACCATCACCATCATCATCACCATCATCATCAACATCACCATCATCACCATCATCAACATCACCACCACCATCACCATCATCAACATCATCAACATCACCATTATCACCACCACCACCATCATCAACATCATCAACATCACCATCATCACCATCATCAACATCATCAACATCACCATCATCAACATCATCACCACCACCACCATCATCACCACCACCACCACCAAGATCACCACCACCACCACCATCACCACCACCATCACCACCACCACCACCATCATCATCACCACCATCACCACCACCACCACCATCACCACCACCACCACCACCATCATCACCACCACCATCACCACCATCATCACCACCACCACCACCATCATCACCACCACCACCACCATCATCATCACCACCATCACCACCACCACCATCATCACCACGTGCGCATCTACGTTGAACTTCGTTCGCAGCCAACCGTGCCGATCGGAGTCGGCAGTGGCAGGACCAACGTCGCGAGCGAACGTCGAGGCGACGTTCGCTCGCGACGTTGGCGGGGTCCACGTTGGACATTTACCAGATGGCGATGCCCAGGGCCAAGATGGCTGCGAGCGCCAGGGCACTGATGACCACGGTGCTGACGAGGAGACCACGTGAGCCATCGGGGGTCACTGCGGGCACGGTGAAGGGTCGGGCGGCAGTGTGAGTCTACGTCTCTGTGTGTGTGTGAGTCTCTGTGTGTGTGTGTGTCTCTGTGTGTGTCTCTCTGTGTGTGAGTGTCTGTGTGTGTGTCTGTGTGTGTGTGCTGACGAGGAGACCACGTGAGCCATCGGGGGTCACTGCGGGCACGGTGAAGGGTCGGGCGGCAGTGTGAGTCTACGTCTCTCTCTGTGTGTCTCTGTGTGTGAGTGTCTGTGTGTGTCTGTGTGTGTGTCTGTGTGTGTGTGCTGAGGAGGAGACCACGTGAGCCATCGGGGGTCACTGCGGGCACGGTGAAGGGTCGGGCGGCAGTGTGAGTCTACGTCTCTCTCTGTGTGTGAGTCTCTGTGTGTGTGTGTGTCTCTGTGTGTGTGTGTCTGTGTGTGTGTGTGAGTGTCTGTGTGTGTCTGTGTGTGTGTGTCTCTGTGTGTGTGTCTCTCTGTGTGTGTCTCTCTGTGTGTGTCTGTGTGTGTGTGTCTCTGTGTGTGTGTCTCTCTGTGTGTGTCTCTCTGTGTGTGTCTGTGTGTGGGTGCTGAGGAGGAGACCACGTGAGCCATCGGGGGTCACTGCGGGCACGGTGAAGGGTCGGGCGGCAGTGTGAGTCTACGTCTCTCTCTGTGTGTCTCTGTGTGTGTGTGTGTCTCTCTGTGTGTGTGTGTCTGTGTGTGTGTGTGAGTGTCTGTGTGTGTCTGTGTGTGTGTGTCTCTGTGTGTGTGTCTCTCTGTGTGTGTCTCTCTGTGTGTGTCTGTGTGTGTGTGTCTCTGTGTGTGTGTCTCTCTGTGTGTGTCTCTCTGTGTGTGTCTGTGTGTGGGTGCTGAGGAGGAGACCACGTGAGCCATCGGGGGTCACTGCGGGCACGGTGAAGGGTCGGGCGGCAGTGTGAGTCTACGTCTCTCTCTGTGTGTCTCTGTGTGTGTGTGTGTCTCTCTGTGTGTGTGTCTGTGTGTGTGTGTGAGTGTCTGTGTGTGTCTGTGTGTGTGTGTCTCTGTGTGTGTGTCTCTCTGTGTGTGTCTCTCTGTGTGTGTCTGTGTGTGTGTGTCTCTGTGTGTGTGTCTCTCTGTGTGTGTCTCTCTGTGTGTGTCTGTGTGTGGGTGCTGACGAGGAGACCACGTGAGCCATCGGGGGTCACTGCGGGCACGGTGAAGGGTCGGGCGGCAGTGTGAGTCTACGTCTCTCTCTGTGTGTCTCTGTGTGTGTGTGTGTCTCTCTGTGTGTGTGTGTCTGTGTGTGTGTGTGAGTGTCTGTGTGTGTCTGTGTGTGTGTGTCTCTGTGTGTGTGTCTCTCTGTGTGTGTCTCTCTGTGTGTGTCTGTGTGTGTGAGTGTGTGTGAGTGTGTCTGTGTGTGTGTGCTGAGGAGGAGACCACGTGAGCCATCGGGGGTCACTGCGGGCACCGTGAAGGGTCGGGCGGCAGTGTGAGTCTGTGTGTGTGTGTCTGTGTGTGTGTGTCTGTGTGTGTGTGTGAGTGTGTCTGTGTCTCTGTGTGTGTGTCTGTGTGTGTGTGTGTGTGTGAGTGTCTGTGTGTGTGTGTGTGTGAGTGTGTCTGTGTGTGTGTGTGAGTCTACGCCTCTCTCTCTCTCTCTGTGTGTGAGTCTACGCCTCTCTGTCTGTGTGTGTGTGTGTCTGTGTGTGTCTGTGTGTGAGTGTCTGTGTGTGTCTGTGTGTCTCTCTGTGTGTGTGTGTCTGTGTGTGTGTGTGCTGACGAGGAGACCACGTGAGCCATCGGGGGTCACTGCGGGCACGGTGAAGGGTCGGGCGGCAGTGTGAGTCTGTGTGTGTGTGTGTCTCTCTGTGTGTGTGTGTCTGTGTGTGAGTGTCTGTGTGTGTCTGTGTGTGTGTGTCTGTGTGTGTGTCTCTGTGTGTGTGTGTGTCTCTGTGTGTGTGTGTGTCTGTGTGTGTGCTGACGAGGAGACCACGTGAGCCATCGGGGGTCACTGTGGGCACGGTGAAGGGTCGGGCGGCAGTGTGAGTCTACGTCTCTCTGTGTGTCTCTGTGTGTGAGTGTGCGTGTCTCTCTGTGTGTGTGTGTCTGTGTGTGTGAGTGTCTGTGTGTGTGTCTGTGTGTGTGTGCTGAGGAGGAGACCACGTGAGCCATCGGGGGTCACTGTGGGCACGGTGAAGGGTCGGGCGGCAGTGTGAGTCTACGTCTCTCTGTATGTGTGTGTGTGTGAGTGTGTGTGAGTGTCTGTGTGTGTGTCTGTGTGTGTGTCTGTGTGTGTGTGTCTCTGTGTGTGCTGACGAGGAGACCACGTGAGCCATCGGGGGTCACTGCGGGCACGGTGAAGGGTCGGGCGGCAGTGTGAGTCTACGTCTCTCTCTGTGTGTCTCTGTGTGTGTGAGTGTCTGTGTGTGAGTCTCTGTGTGTGTGTGTGAGTGTGTGTGTGAGTGTGTGTCTCTGTGTGTGTGTGTGAGTGTGTGTGTGAGTGTGTGTCTCTGTGTGTGTGTGTGAGTGTGTGTGTGAGTGTGTGTCTCTGTGTGTGTGTGTGAGTGTGTGTGTGAGTGTGTGTCTCTGTGTGTGTGTGTGAGTGTGTGTGTGAGTGTGTGTCTCTGTGTGTGTGTGTGTGTGAGTGTGTGTGTGAGTGTGAGTCTACGCCTCTCTCTCTGTCTGTGCGTCTGTGTGTGTGAGTCTGTGTGTGTGAGTCTACGCCTCTCTCTCTGTCTGTGTGTCTGTGTGTGTGAGTCTACGCCTCTCTGTGTGTGTGTGAGTCTACGCCTCTCTCTCTGTCTGTGTGTCTGTGTGTGTGAGTCTACGCCTCTCTGTGTGTGTGTGTGAGTCTACGCCTCTCTCTGTGTGTGAGTGTCTGTGTGTGTGTGAGTCTACGCCTCTCTGTGTGTGTGTGTGAGTCTACGCCTCTCTCTCTCTGAGTGTGAGTCTACGTCTCTCTCTCTCTGTGTGTGTGGGTGTGTCTGTGTCTCTGTGTGTCTGTGTGTGTCTCTCTGTGTGTGTGTCTGTGTGTGTGTCTGTGTGTGTGTGCTGACGAGGAGGCCGCGAGAGTCATCGGGGGTCACTGCGGGCACGGTGAAGGGTCGGGCGGCAGTGTGAGTCTACGTCTCTCTGTGTGTGTGTGTCTGTGTGTGTGTGTCTGTGTGTGTGTGTGTGAGTCTACGCCTCTCTCTCTCTCTCTGTGTGTGAGTCTACGCCTCTCTGTCTGTGTGTGTGTGTCTGTGTGTGTCTGTGTGTGAGTGTCTGTGTGTGTCTGTGTGTGTATGTCTGTGTGTGTGTCTGTGTGTGTCTGTGTGTGTCTGTGTGTGTGTCTGTGTGTGTGTCTGTGTGTGTGTCTGTGTGTGTGTCTGTGTGTGTGAGTCTACGTCTCTGTGTCTCTCTGTGTGTGTGTGTCTGTGTGTGAGTGTCTGTGTGTGTGTCTGTGTGTGTGTCTCTCTCTGTGTGTCTCTGTGTGTCTGTGTGTGGGTGCTGACGAGGAGGCCGCGAGAGCCATCGGGGGTCACTGCGGGCACGGTGAAGGGTCGGGCGGCAGTGTGAGTCTACGTCTCTCTGTGTGTCTCTGTGTGTGTGTGAGTCTGTGTGTGAGTCTCTGTGTGTGTGTCTCTGTGTGTGTGTGTGAGTCTGTGTGTGTGAGTCTACGCCTCTCTCTCTGTGTGTGTGTGTCTGTGTCTCTGTGTGTGTGTGTGTGTCTCTCTCTCTGTGTGTGTGAGTGTGTCTGTGTGTGTGTGTCTGTGTGTGTGTCTGTGTCTGTGTGTGTGTGTGTGAGTGTGTGTGTCTGTGTGTGTGTCTGTGTGTGTGTGTCTGTGTGTGTGTGTCTGTGTGTGTGTGTGTCTGTGTGTGTGTGTCTGTGTGTGTGTGTCTGTGTGTGTGTCTGTGTGTGTGTGCTGACGAGGAGACCGCGAGAGTCATCGGGGGTCACTGCGGGCACGGTGAAGGGTCGGGCGGCAGTGTGAGTCTACGTGTGTGTGTGTGAGTGTGTGTGTGTGAGTGTCTGTGTGTGTGTGTGAGTGTCTGTGTGTGTGTCTCTCTGTGTGTGTGTGAGTCTACGTCTCTCTCTCTCTCTGTGTGTGTGTGAGTGTCTCTCTGTGTGTGTGTGAGTGTCTGTGTGTGTGTGAGTCTACGCCTCTCTCTCTGTGTGTGTGTGAGTGTCTCTCTGTGTGTGTGAGTGTCTGTGTGTGTGTGAGTCTACGCCTCTCTCTGTGTGTGTGTGAGTCTACGCCTCTCTCTCTCTCTGTGTGAGTGTGTGTGAGTGTCTGTGTGTGTCTCTCTGTGTGTGTGTGTCTCTCTCTGTGTGTGTGTGTGTGAGTCTACGCCTCTCTGTGTGTGTGTGTGAGTCTCTGTGTGTGTCTCTCTGTGTGTGTGTCTCTCTCTGTGTGTGTGAGTCTACGCCTCTCTCTCTCTGTGTGTGTCTGTGAGTGTGTCTGTGTGTGTGTGTCTCTCTCTCTCTGAGTGTGTGTGTCTGTGTCTCTCTGTGTGTGTGTCTGTGTGTGTGTGAGTCTACGCCTCTCTCTCTCTCTCTGTGTGTGTGTCTGTGTGTGTGTGAGTCTACGCCTCTCTCTCTGTGTGTGTGTGTGAGTCTCTGTGTCTCTGTGTGTGTGAGTCTATGTCTCTGTGTGAGTCTACGCCTCTCTATGTCTGTGTGTGTGTGTCTGTGTCTCTCTGTGAGTCTACGTCTCTCTCTGTGTGTGTGTGAGTCTACGCCTCTCTGTGTGTGTGTGTCTGTGTCTCTGTGTCTCTCTCTGTGTGTGTCTCTCTGTGTCTCTCTCTGTGTGTGTGAGTGTCTGTGTCTCTGTGTGTGTGTGTCTGTGTGTGTGTGAGTCTACGCCTCTCACTCTGTGTGTGTGTGTCTGTGTGTGTGAGTCTACGTCTCTCTGTGTGTGTGAGTGTCTGTGTGTGTGTGAGTCTACGCCTCTCTCTGTGTGTGTGTGTGAGTGTCAGTGTCTCTCTGTGAGTCTACGTCTCTGTGTGTGTGTGATTGTCTGTGTCTCTCTGTGTGTGTGTCTGTGTCTCTCTGTGTGTGATTGTCTGTG